ACCTTATTCATGCCTCACAGCAGAGTAACACACCTTGTGTACAGGTCTTTCAGGAACACAGTCCCTAATTGTGGGTTTCCCCTTTTTGTCTATGTGGTTTGGCTACCATAATGCTTAAGTTTTGCCTGACTCATAACTATCTGACCCTGGAAAGACTTCTCGTGATTTTTAGTCTATCTTCAAGACAATTTAGGCGGTATAATGTGGCGCACGTCTTGTTGTCAGGTTACTTTGGTCTTTCGCCTTTGATGTCTGTACATTACATTGGTTCTTTGTTTCACAACTTTGTGTTTTTGGCATGTCGTTTCAGTCTTGCAACTGCTCTTGACCAATCAGAGCCTTTCTGTATAGCGGATCCATAATGACCTGTCTTCTTTTCGAAGTTCAGGATGCATCCTCATTGATTTTCTCCCACCTTGCATTCTCTTAGCAGGTAGGTTCCTGTTTGCCAAAGAAACTTTGGTTCTGTGAACCAGTTTGAAGTCTTCAGTCGGCTCTGCCGTTAAACTCGAGAGGCATGATCAGGCTGGATTGTCTTTAACTTGGTTCGGTCACCATAGTGTACCTTCAGTTTTGAGACTGAGAGAAGGGTTCTACACCTGGTGTCACTTGTCTTACTTACATGTCGATGGCTAACGCCATGGCGTCCTCAGTAATCTATACAGGGATTCATGTTTCCAACAATACTCCCATTCAAGGTCTGTACGTTTGTGCAATAAGGTTGGATTTACTTTGCCAGACACAACTTCTCTTGGAAGTAAAGCTTTGTGAGCAGTTGTACTCGCCTATGAGCAGACCACTTCACAGTCTTGGCAAGAGGTGCAATCTCTCCTTGGAGGTGCTCTAGATGAGACCAAGCTTTTGCAGTTTCATCTGTTTGTAATGGCGAGTTCTGTTGGCTGGAATGAAGTCACGTGGATATAGACTGGTGTAAGGGAATCTTTTACTGGAGTAAAAGCCTCTAAACTTGTAGATGTTCACATCTTTGAGCGCTTACAACTGTGGTTCTTGCGGTCATAGTAGAATACTTGAGGCTTGATCTTGTTTGTTTATATGCTTCCAGCCTCAGCTACTTCACTTAGCACAAATGTTTTGTGTGCACTGTAATAAAGTAATCCAACAGAGCGTATACAAGGATTTCTTCTGCTGTTACATTGTGGATGAAAGCCAGACTGGAATTATAGCAGCCTGTTTGTGTATTACCCTTCACAAGTAATTACCTCTGTTTGGAAATAGCGCTGTGGTTCTTTCTTCTTGTTGTGTTTGGTTGAGGTCTTCTTTGTATCTTTCTTGATTTGTACGCTCTTCATGCAGACAGGTTTGCGCTTCTTGGCACCTTCACATACACTCCTACTCGTGGCAGCTCCTGATGATGGGCCAGTCTCGAGACATCCAAAGCATAGCCTTTCTGAGCCTTGAATGTACTTGATTCCATGTCTGGAAACAGCTTGCTCCATGAACTTCCTGCAATTGTGCAAGGAATGCCAATTCCTTCTTACAAGAGAATACAATGTTAAGAAGGTGTTTTCGTCTCGAACTTGGGTCAGTGTCTTTGCCTGCATAAGCTTTGTTGTCTTTGAGATTTTAGTGTTTTCAGCTTCACCTTGCTTCAGTGATTGCAATGATGTGACCAGGGTTCAGCAATCTTTGGCTTCTTTTGTCAAAAACTTTACAAATTGGCTGAAGGAGGGAAATTGTTTACGTCCTTCCTTGGACCTTCAGTAACCTTCCGATTCCAGCTTGCGCAGTTAAGCCGTTAGCTCAATTCTGGTAACTTTGAAAGTATTTGCCTGTTTTCATTACAGTCATTCAATATTTCTAATGCTTGATGTGGACCATGGCAGCCTCGCAACATACGGAGAAAGTCTGCAAAATCATCTGAGCTCAAAGCTGTCCTAAGATCCTATCTTTGGCCCGTTGAAGCTTTCTATAGGCTTTTGCAAATTGTAAATGGATTCCCATATCTCTCCTCCAAAAATCCATGCTGCAACATAGCGCAGATTTGGTTCTGAGCAGGAAATAACCATCAGTGCTTTCTTAGCTTGTCACTAACATATCTCCTTAAGTAGTATATATTTTCTTTGTCCTTGGATGTTCCTTCCTGGTCAATCAGGTATTTCAATGAAAGTTTCCATTCATTGTATTCAATGCTCCCCACTGAATACTGAAGGTTTAGGGAACTGGAATTCTGTTGGCGTTAAGGCACCGCTGCACCTTAAGCAGCTCTGCTGTACTTTCACTTGAGGGAAGTAAGTGACAATCTGGTCGTTGAGGACTTGTGGGAGCAGGCACTGGGTTACTTACCGATGATCCTCTCTAGCACATCTTCCATTCTTCTTTAATGGACTCTTCTTGGTCATTACCTTGCATTCTTGCTCGTCGCCGTGCATTGAACCCTTTTACTGCTTCGCAAATGCTGGTATTTTCTCCGTTTGTATCCAGAGTCTGTTGGTAGAAGGCTGCATGCTCTTCTTCTAGACTAGCTTTAATTTTTAGCTTCCTCTTCCTCTCTTTCTGAACAATGTCTTAACTCTTCCTGATTCCTTTTTAACGACGTCTTAACTCTTCTGCTTCCTCTTTCTAAACAACGCTCATGGCCTGCAAGTCTCTTGATCAGCTATCTTCTTTTACGCTTCTGCTTCCAGGCGCTGAATCTCCAAATGTTCTCTTCTTGTTCTTTGTAATCACTTTCAGAACAGCTTGGCTTGCAGCGCCTCAGCAGCAGCTTCTTGTCGTTTCACAGAAGACTGGTTCGATTGTTGGAGTTGGCTTTTCGAAGAAGAAGTGTAGGTGGCTTGAGTTAAAGAGATAACCTGCTTCAGGCCAATCTTTCTTTTCTCCTTCCTGGAACTTCCATCCAGAGACTTGAAGCTCTGATGATGACAAACTTAGAATCTTCTGCCACAGATCACTCTTCGACGTGTGTCCTGGTCTGGAGTTGAGCATTGTACACAGAATCACTTCATAAACATGTCGGAACATCTTCTGACAAACTTGTGCATCATGAATTATGTCATGTAACAAATCTCAGATAAAGACTCTGTTGTTTGAGATAATGGCCGCTAGCTGTTTTTCACTTGTGTCTCCATTTTCATAATTGTATGTTTTCATTTGTTCTTCTTGCATTCTCCTAACCCTTTTCTGTAGGAGTTTTTAAGTTCTTTGACCTTTTCTACTAGCTGTGCTTCATTGTTATCACAGCTTCGTCTTGGGACTCTGCACTTTCCCCTAACCTGACTTGTAGGCTGCACTAGACTTAGACATTAGTAATTCACTACTTTAAAGTGACTCACTTTAATAAAAACAGCAAAATGCAGTTAACCTTTTAATGAACTTTCAACACTTACTCAAATGTAATGTGATTAAATGTACCTCTATAAGACTTCAATAGAGGTAGAAATGCACTTAAAAATAGAAAATGTGCAAAACACAGCTAATTGAACTTTAGACCTTTCAAAAAATATACTCAAATAAAGACTTCAGAACTTCAATGAAATAACGTTTCACTTATTATTCCCAAAAACACACTTTGAAATAGAAATTGGAAATAAAAACACTTATTTTCCCTTTAACTTTACGCTTAATTAACCAGCTTAATAAAATGACATGAGCAAATAAGTCAAAAAGCTAACCACACACACTACTGTAGTGGCAGCTCACAGTAATAACGGTTTAGCAAACCTTTACAGAAGCCCTCTACTCAGATCAACTCTTGATTTTCTTAGTGTCCAACGTTCTTTATGGCTCTGTCTTGAAGCGTTGTTCTTTTAAACTGCGTGCGTACGTCCACTTCTGTGTGTGCATGCGTAGTTTATATCCTCCTCCTGCGGCCCATTTGAAGACAGCCTCGTGCTCAGTCGTGATCCTCTGAAGTTGCCGCTTCGTCAATTAAGACACACTCGCGTTCGATGGACAGTCGAGTTTTCACTGTAATTTCCCTCGAAGCACAGGCAGACACAAGTGGCTTTCTCATAACGGGTTTATTCCTCCGAATCCACCGTGAAAACTACACAAACAAACAGTATAAATGACAAACATAGTTTCGTGTTAGACACACAATAGCATGAACAGCATGTGAGATAACTAGCAAGGTAATAAACATAAAAGTAATACAAGCACAACAACATACCTCGTTGGGCTGCATGCTCTGTAAACAGAGGGAAGTATTCTTCAGTTCTCTTCACAACTTATATGTATAAGAATACAAAACTAACGGAGCTGTAAGTATCCGTGCGTCTTACTCTGAGGGTGCTTCTCATGTTCTCGCTCTCTAACTCACGCGAGAACAGCATAATGAGACGTGAGCTTGGACTTCAAAATAAAAGACGAAATATTGCACGCATGAAACATTACAACAATAATTATTATTACACTTAGAAAATACACATTAGAGTTAAATTATGAACATGTAAAGGCTGCACTTACAAACTGACTAACTATACTTCATGTTCATCGTCTCCTTAATTTCTACATCCGACCACAGGAGTGTTTTGATATCCTTTGTGTGGATGTAAAACAAATGTAATATCTGTGTCAGCAGTATTATAATCCTTAAATAGTTGTGGTCTAAAAATGACGACACAATCCTACACTGTCAGTAGATTTCCTTTCAACTGTTCACGCTGTTGAATAATGAGTTCTATAACATGTATTTGTAAGACTCTCCTTGTCCCTGCCAGCCTGAAAATAGCCCGTCATGAATGATACAGGAGGTTCGATCTTTGAAGCCTTCCTTCCCAGACTGAATTTCCCGTTTCCCAGTGGAAGTTGATATGGGTCATTTTTGACAATGCTTTGTTCCCATGTTTCCTGCCTGTAGTAAAGGAGGTCCATGCACAGGGAGAACAGTTACCAGCCCTCCGTCCCCCACTCTCTGTTCCTTGCTTCCTAGTTTATCGTTTAGCATTGCTGTCGGTTTCGTTTACAGCTGTTCCCCCTCCTCTTCTCCTTCTTATGTTTCCTCATCAGTCAAGCCTCTCATTCTGTCTCCCTCCAGCTGATTGACACGTTTGCGTCTGAGATCGGGGAGCTGAAGCGAGAGATGGTGCAGACCCCTCTAACGTTTGACAAAGAGCCCATGGATTTACAGGGGTAAGAATGTTTGACTTATCTTTTATCGTTTTGATCCGTCCGTCACATTCTCAGGAATGGGATAATTAAGGAATGCTTGGAGAAAATGGCGCAAACATCCGCATGAACTGATTACATGTATGATTATCAAAGGTCAAGATCACTGTGTCCTCACAAAACATGTTTTCTCTTTCTAAGAATGTATGGTAATAAACAGGTTTTGGGATTAACTGATTACATGTAATGGGATTACACAATCAAGATACAGGAAAGTGTAACTGTGTTTCCTTACAGTTACATTTAAAAAATATATATAATCAAATTACTGCTACATCTTTTTTAAACGGGGATAATTAATAATAATAATAATAATAATAATAATGAATTGTCTTTGGACAGTATTTATAAAAGCCTCTGACACATAGGTACTCACTTTCACCAGCAGATGGCAAAAGTGTTTCATTGTATCTTCTTCTTCTTCTTCTTCTTCTTCTTCTTCTTCTTCTTCTTCTTCTTCTTCTTCTTCTTCTTCTCTCTGCCAGGCTGGAGGCTGAAGTGTGCGGTGTTTACCTGCAGTCCCCCAGCTGTGCCGCTCTGGGGGGTGAAAGGGATTCTGGGTACGACTCGCTGCGCAGGAGGATGAGCGTGTTGGAGCGACTGACTCAGACCCACCCGGTGTGGCTGCTGCTGGCCGTCAGTGAGGAGGAGGCCACTCGCATTCTGCTCACACAGCCCCCGGGGGTGAGGGGCCACCATGCTGACGGACACATCTTTTAAGGTTGAATTATATTTCATGATGTCCTAACCCCAACCCTTCATGGTTCAGGTGTTCCTGGTGAGGAAGTCGGCAGCTTTACAGAGGAAGATTCTGTCTGTGCGTCTGAAGGAGGATCAGAGCGGAACTCCCATCAGCCACCTCCCTGTCAGAGAGAGCCAGTACAGTAAGCGACCAGTGTATTACCTTTCTTATTATCATTTTTCACAGTATTTATGACAAACATAAGTAATCCTTACACGAAAAAAACAAGGAGGAAAAGATAAAGAAAGTATATTTTACTATTGGCCAAGCTGGTGTAAAGGAATCAGCTCTAGATGTTCTGCAGGAGAGGAGAAAAAGGTTTTATTAAAAGGGATTATATTATAATTTAGGGTTGAGGAGAGCTGGTCCATGTTTGATCTGTTGGACTCAGTTCCTTAATTGTGGTCTTTCGATTTCCTTTGGTCCGCTGATTATGTCTCACTCAACCACAGACACCTCTGCAGTCATACTGTACTCGAGGTTTGAGAGTTAATGATGTCATTTCCTTTACGTTAATAAGAAATAAAACCACATGGCCAGAGTGAAGCCAGTTTGGACTGATTGTGTGTTCTTGCGTGCGTGCGTGTGTTTGGTTATACTTGCACTTAAAAAATGACAATAATTCCATAAAGAACGAATAAAAAACATTATAGTGTCTAACATTAGTGATCTCATTACACACAAAGAAAGATTGTCATCATATTTGTACCTGTGCTTTGACAATATTTAGACCAACATTGAGCTTTGCAGCAGTACTTGGGATTAGTCCTGGAGCTGTGACAGAGCCAGAGTGTGACCACACACCAGCTGTGGATGTTTCCTGCTGAAATGACAGCACACATGGGAGGAGGTGGGAGGGGGGGATGGTGTGTCTTTGGCCTGCGTCAGATGTGGGTCAGTTGCTCTCCAGTTTAGTCTGACCGACTGCTTTGCTAAGTTTTACTTGTGCACAAAATGCTTCTTTTGGAAATTAAATTCTGTAGTCATTTTTATTTCTCATTGATCATCCAGCATACTTTCTTGAAATAGTGGCTGAATATTAAATGTGAAAAAGTAAATGCCACATAATCAACAACGTCTTTCTATTAAATATAAGTGCACATATTTTGTGTCTTACAGCCTTTTCTCTTGAGGAATCTGGGATCAGCTTTGCGGATCTGTTTCGCCTCGTGGCTTTCTACTGTATAAGCAGGTAAAACACCAGAGAATTGTTCTTTTTTCTATCTCTCCGTTTATTCGTCTATGATTGGAGGGTGATTCAACTATGAAGGTATATCACAAACATTTTTGTAAAAAAAAGAAGAAGTACAAAGCAAGGGGATTGCTAATGCTAATATCTGGTTCATTTTGTTTTATTCTGAATAGGCCCAATTCACAGCAGTCTGTGCTTTAATCACCACTAGAAAATGCATTTCCTGCAGAAAATGCGTGCGAATGCTGTAAACTGTGAACATTTATGGCTGAATTTAGCTGAAAATGCAGAAAAGCTGAATATGTTATTAGCTGAATGGTAGCTGCTTTTAGCAACAAAAATGCAGAACAAGCTTAATATTTAAAAGAAAATGTTTTTAAAAAGGTATAAACAACAACATGTATAGCCTTGATGTCCTGAAATAGCTGAATAATGTAATAGTTGAATGGTTTCTGCAGCTGAAAATAGGCTGAAGCAGTTAAATATCAGATGTAAGTAGTAGTGAATGAATTTGTATTAAGATGAGAAAAGAAAGTAAAAGCTTGGGAAAGCAGCAGAATATTTTGACTGCAAACTTTTCGACTAAAACCATACGTCACCAATAATGTATAAAATATGTGGAACCTGTTGAAGTCTGTATGAAGTCTCCATCAGACAGAAAATAATAGGCTGAGACAGTCTGTTAAAGTCCAGTCTGTCAGTGTTTGTTTCTGTTCCTGAGCACCTATTCATAACACCCAATCATAACACCTGTGTGTGTGTCCAGACAGATCAAAGGCAACCAACTGCAGCACTGCGTCCCATAAGAATGCATTGAGTTGTATATCTGACCATTTTGCCACCCGTTCAAAAACTATGGAGAGAGAGAGCGAGCGAGAGAGCGAGCGAGAGAGAGAGTTTGTCTGTGAGAGAGAGAGTGTGCGAGAGAGAGAGTGTGCGAGAGAGAGAGTGTGTGTGTGTGTGTGTGTGTGTGTGTGTGTGTGTGTGTGTGTGTGTGTGTGTGTGTGTGTGTGTGTGTGTGTGTGTGTGTGTGTGTGTGTGTGTGTGTGTGTGTGGAGAGAGAGTGTGTGTGTGTGTGTGTGTGTGTGTGTGTGTGTGTGTGTGTGTGTGTGTGTGTGTGTGTGTGTGTGTGTGTGTGTGTGTGTGTGTGTGTGTGTGTGTGTGTGTGTGTGTGTGTGTGTGTGTGTGTGTGTGTGTGTGTGTGTGTGTGTGTGTGTGTGTGTGTGTGTGTGTGTGTTTGTGTGTGCCCCTACAGTGTGTCCAGCAGTGTGTCCTCACTAGCCTCAGTTCCTCCCTGTGTACACACATGATCTGTGTGATGAACCCAGCTCAGGGCTCCCCTTGTTCTTGACTTCAGATGTATTGGTCTGGGGGGGTGCTATGAAGAGCCAAACCCTCACCTCCGGCGACCCCGTTCACTTGTCTCCCGGACATGGTGTGGAGGCTTGTTCTGTAGTGCAGCACATTCCCCTCTCTGACTCACCATAAATTCAGACATTTCTCCACAAGAACAGAATTCTTGTATGTGCATGCTGGCTTGTTTACGCGGTTACAAAGCGTGCACTTGGCTCTGTGGAACTCATTGCATAAACACTGCCTGGAGGCTGCCATTGAACTAAAGGAAGCAATTGTGTAAATGCAAACAAGCTGTACATAGCTGAGGTAGGCAGAGAATGATTTGAAGCCTATGTACGGGGTCCGAGGTACAGATGGAGCCATTGTAGCTTTTTGCAGCACGGTAGCTCAATGAATGTTGCTTATAAATAGGGTTGGATTTGTCAAGGTCAGACAATCTTCAACTCTTCAAAGAGATTGTACTAAACCTTCAGGTTGCTCAGCTGTACAGTAAATAGCACATTTGTAATGTATGAGGTGGAACCTGACGTGCCACACTTTGAGACTAGTCATTTATTTCCTTTGTTACTGAGAGCTGTTGAAAACCAGGAATTCGGAAGTATTTACATTTGTTTTGCTTCATTTTATCATTATGTTTTAAAACGTACAAATGTAGTTCTCCTTACTAATTAGATTACATTAGATATACTTTATTTATCCCAAATTGGGAAATTGTTTTGTTACAGCAGCAGAAAGTTAATCACAAAAAGTATTACACATGAGTTAAAAATAAAATCTATATATAAAATACAAATTAAAGAAAACAAACACAGTAATATATGATATCAACAGTAGAAACGTTTTATACCAATATAGTATCTAAAGAATGCCAAATCTACCAAAAAAAGGGGAATCTATATACATATGATACTTTATACATAACAAAAGTGTATAAAGTTGCGTTCAGTTTTTTAATTACAATTAATTTAGTAATTTAAACCTAATGAGGGAGCGTCCGTCAGCACATTATTTATAATATGTGCAAAAAGTGTCTGTATTACCATTTAAAGAAACAGATGCAGAAGAAATACAGAACATTATCAGTGACTTTAGTTAAACATCTGCATGAATGGTTGCTTGGTTTACTCCTGTTCAAGCAATGTTTAGTAAAAACCAGTTTTTTATCAATTTAAACTATATGTATTTATGACATTCAAAGGATGTATGTCTTCAGCAGGAATACCTGCCTGAGGCTAGGATTGAGAAAAATTGAATAATTGGCCTGACAAATCTGTTTTTAAAATGTTTTATGTATTGGATTATAAAATACATGTTTGGGATTTGGGAGAGTGTGAAATTGACCCCAGTTAATCCCAACAGTGTATTGTTTGGGATCAGGATTAGGTCCTATGAACTTAATATAATTGTTTATTATAGGCGCTTTCACACCGCAGTACTTTTCCCACAAAGGTTCATGAGAATTTAGTTCATGAAAACTCAGATTCGCGTTCACACCGGAATAAATCCCTGCGGAAGGATTAGGCAAATGAAGCCGCTGACTTCACTTCTTCTTCTTCTTTGGGTTTACTGGCAGGCCGCAAACAACTTCACGGCGTATACTGCCACCCGAAGTCCTCGGCTGGAAGTCCTGGAGTTGGGGACTGGCTTCAGTAGAAGCTGCTGAGCTTCTACTGAGTAAATCGCCAGAACGCCGACACCTCCTCATCTCCACCGCTCCCATGTATTCTTTTGTGTTGCAATAAGTTAGTCTCAGACATAGGAACCTTTTTCTCCCACGAAAGTCCCTGCTCTCTAGCAGGGACGGAAAAGGGGGTAAAAAAGGTTCTGATTAACTAATTTTAGTTCCGGCTCTTTTTGGTGTGAAAACCATTTCGGAACTATATCGGAACTAAAGTGGGAAAAGTACTGCGGTGTGAACGCGGCTCTAGAGAGCAGGTACTTTTGTGGGAGAAAAAGGTTCTTATTTCTGATTGGCAGGGCGGAATGCAAACCACGCCCCGTAAAACTCCCAAAAGGTTTTGTGAAGCCGCCATTTTATTATCCTCGCATTAGCATTATTAGCATTAGCATTAGCCCAGCGCACAAACGCAGAGAGACTAATTTATGGCAACACTGGGAGTCCCAGCAGCTTCTACTGAAGACAGTCCCCAACTCCTGGGACTTCTGGCAGATGACTTCGTTTGCGGCCTGCCAGTAAACCCAAAGCAGAAGAAGAAGAAGTGACGTCAGCGGCTTCATTTGCCTAATCCTCCCCCAGGGATTTATTCCGGTGTGAACGCGATCTGTACTTAGTTCATGAGAACTAAAGAGTTCTCATGAACTAAGTTCTGATTAACCTTTGTGGGAAAAGTACTGCGGTGTGAAAGCGCCTATTGGTTATGTTTGGTGTGGCCTTAGCTGGCTATGCAGAACATGTTGAATGTTTATATTTTTTTAACGTTTCTGGATTAAATCAGAGTGCTTTGACCTTCTTTATATACAGTAATGGTAGAGTTTACAACACTTCTAGCATCTGGCAGAGCCATTTGACCTTTTTGTGGTTGATATGTCTTGTTATCTTCAACAATGATTGACTTTGTATCTTCTACAGACCAGGTGCTAGAGAAGGCCATGCACAAGTGTGTCCTGAAGCCTCTGAAGAGTGTGATCGAGGTGGCTTTACATGACTTCCAGGTAAAAGACGGAATCATTTAATTTCACAATAACATCTCAAAATCTTATTTTTAAAGGGACGATTCATGTCAAAATAAAAAATACTTATTGTTCCTTTTACTTGTTGTGCTATGTATAAATCTGGATTGTTTGATGTGAGTTGCTGAGTGTTGGAGATATCAGTTGTATAGATGTCTGCCTTCTCTCTAATATAATGTAACTGGCTATCAAAGTGTCAAAAAATACACTTCAAACTAAAAAATGCCTTGATCCAGAAATCATGACCTGGTTACTCGAGATAATCTACAGATTGGGAGCAGTTTCATGTACAAACCGAACTACATCCGCCAATAGGTTAGGACACGCCTCATTAGTCATGAGTAGATGCACGCGTCTGTCTCTGCAGTGATACTGTTGGCAGGTGTAGTTCAGCAATAAGAAAATTGGTCCTGCATGGAATAGTCACATACGGTTTGAGTATTATCGTGTGTAACTAGGTCATGATTTCTTCAAAAGGACTTTGCTATGGAGTTTGAATGTTTTCACATTTTATTTTTTTGGTGCTTTTGGCACCAGGATGAACTGTCTCTTTGTGGGTGAACATAGACTCATCCTTACCTTCAAACCATTTTTGAATTCAAAAGAAAAAGATATCCCCAAAAGAGGAGTTTTGAGACATTACATAGGAACCTTATTAGCGATCTGGCTTGGTTAGCTGGGTAAATTAACCACACTTTTAAAACTCAACTTGTTATTTCCAGGTGAAAAGTGGAGCTTTGCAGCAGCTAAAGGAGAACCTGGCCCTGGCTAATGCCAAGAGGCCCCAGGAGTTAGGGGTGGATGGAGCTGTGCCTCCTGACCCCTTGGCTATTGAGAAGATCCGTCACAAGTTCCTAAACATGAGGAAGATGTACTCCCCTGAGAAAAAGGTGTCATTGCTGCTGCGTGTGTGCAAACTCATCTACACCATAATGCAGGATAACTCAGGTATGGTGAAGATATATAGATTTTGATTTTGTATTCTTCATTCTTCATTAGACAGAAAGCCTAAGATGTACAGCGATGACCTTTGTCAGATCTGTATGACTGACCCCTACCCCCCCTTCTCCCTCACTGCTCTCCATCTGCTTCCTTCCAGGGAGGATGTATGGTGCCGATGACTTCCTGCCCATGCTGACCTATGTGGTGGCTCAGTGTGACATGCCTCAGCTTGACACAGAGATCCAATACATGATGGAGCTGCTGGACCCATCTCTGCTTCAAGGAGAGGGTAGGTGCAGAAGCCCACTTCACACGACTCATCGATAGAACTGCTTGGTATATAACTCATAATGTACCATGAAAACAATGTCACTTAATTTTAGGCCAGAAATCACATAATTAAGAGGCCTTCACACCCCTTTTAACTATGCATTAAGTATGGAGCTGGGCATTTTAAGCTTAGCTTAGATTATCATAGAGACTAAAGGCAGTGGGAAACAGCTAACTTACTGATGATAACGTTGAGAAACAAGACTACCACAATCTCTAAAGCTATCCAAATACCATGCAGAATCTTGTTTGTTTAACCTGTACATTGAATGCAATGTAAACATTATAATAGGCTGTGAGATAAAGGCTTTATCTTTTTTTAGCATGTCTTATTTGCTAGTTTAGTGTATTGTTTGTAGCTATAGCTGCCCTGAAAACCACAACCTAACATTTTTACAAACACACAAGTGCTTGTTATATACCGTAGATCTTAAATAATGAAAACGATATCACATAATTTGGCTTTTACACCTCTTTTATCTGTACACAAAGTATGCAAATGGATGCATTTAGCTTTAGCTTAGCTTAGCATAGAGACTGAAAGCAGCTGTTGGGCCGGCTCGGTAATGAAACCAGCTTACTAGGCAGCCGAGACCGCATATTGGCCGCCAGCTCCACTGAGCTGTCCGGCGGCCGTAAACTGAACATACATTAAAAGTAATGACATTGATGTTTTTAGCTCACTCTCAGAGGGACAGCTAATACGTTTATTTCCCAAAAGGTTGAACTACTACTTCTGAAACTTAAAGTAAGGTAGTGAAGTAAGAGAACAAAAAGGAAACACAGACACTCTCCTCTCCCGAGACGCTTATTTAAAAATGGAGGTGATAAACCTTTCATAAATAGGGTAGTGAGTAGTATGATTTTCAGAAGATGTTTGCTGAATATTTCCTACATGAGGTCATGCAAATTACAGTATGGTGTGAGGTTAATGTTGTATAACCCAAACAGAGGAAGTTGTTTCGAGGAGGAAACACTTAGCTGTGTCATCACAGCTCCAGACGAATGGATGGAAATAGATCATAAATAGATCAAGGGCAAGGGTCACGTATATGAACTATTCACAATGCTGTCATAGTATTAGGTTCTTGTAGTGATCAACTCTGAATAATGAATAAGTAGCTCCAGACAACATTTTACCTGAAGCTTTACAGAATGTCCCCTGTTACTGGAGTAGCATGGTCAGCACCACTTTTAAGACATGTATTATATCACATTCTGCTGGAATAAAAACAAGAGTTTTCCTGTGGAAGATGAAGCAATTTCGAGACAAGTTTAATGTTCCTCAATTATTATTGTTTAGCATTCCAACACAGGTATTTCACCAGAGTGGTCTCAGCTGATTTGGGGAAGGTTTTGTGTAAGAGCTTGACAAACATAGCAAGGGAAGTCCTTTTGACATTGGTAGGAAATTCCACACGCTGTTTGATTTGAATAGGCTGGAGCCGGTTCAGAGGATAAAGGAGACTGACCCCTCCCAGAGTGAAATATTTTCCTACCAGCGTCAACCTCACTCGCACGTACACGTTAGCTCATTGTAGGATGGCTTAAATGTATGTGTATCCTAGAGCCTCAGTTAAAAATGTGAAAGATGACCTGCACTGATTCATCTCTTATATAAAAGGAGGAAGTGTCCATTTCTTGATACATTTTACGAGATTCTACCTAGTGTTTGGTTTAATTTCTAAATAACTAGCTCTGCATTGTTTCTTTTCCTACATCCCCATAACGCCCCTCATTTAGATTTTGGATTGAGGAGGGCAGACATACATATGTAATAGTAGACATGGATCATTTTGACATAGGTATACAAACATGGTATTTATTTGTATTGACGTGTATTGTGACTTTTATCCACTGCCTGTATAAATGGCGTTTATTGGCCTCAACCATCAGTGAAACATGGTAAGAAAGCCCAAAAACAAGAAAACTAATACAAATGCAAACTCAATAAAGATAATGAAATAAAATAGGAGCAGACAATATATACATTTTTTTTTTTTAAATCTCGTCCATATTGGTAATGTTATAATATTATTTACATGTTTGTTGGAGCCATTTATAGTTTTTTATATTTTATGAGAATATCTAACACATACATTTTTAGTTACAGTATGATTGTAATATACTATTTACATAGCTATGATTAGATAATGGCCACTTTTTTTTGTGAAAGAGTGACGTCAGGCTCCAGCTGGGAGGGCTGAGCGAGAAAAATACTTGTTCTCTGTTTTTTTTTAAGTTGAACTAAGCTGCTTCTATGCGAGTGCTTTAAGGGGAAATATGTTTCGGACATTGTCAACTAAGTAGTAAAACTGAAGTTCACTGGAAGTTTACACCCCAATAGTAAGACATCTCACAGCTGTCAGAACAAAATTATGAGATTTTGAAACAATCATTTATCATTTACATCAAAAAGTGCATGTGCAACTATAAACCAAAGATTTTTCTCATCAAATGTAAACTGGTACACCTCCCCCTCCTCCCTCCTCCAGGGGGCTACTACCTGACCAGTGCGTACGGAGCCATGGCCCTCATCAAGAACTTCCAGGAGGAGCAGGCCGCCCGGGTGCTGAGCTCCGAGGCCAGGAACACGCTGCACCATTGGCACAGGCGGCGCACCACCCCCCGCTCAGCACCCACTGTGGACGACTTTCAGGTATCACGCCTGACCTGAACCCTCCATGAACATCCAGTCAGTGAGTCTAAGTAGTACCAATTCCAAATCAGTCCAAAGCTCACTCTCGGCATTGGGAAGGTGCATGAAAGGAGCTGTGTTCCGGCCCTGGACAGTGGAACGGATCATATCTACAGATTCTACTAACCTCACTGCATGTTGATCTGGATCCATTCATTTATTTTTGGTAGAAAGCACCCTCTAGTGGAAAAATTAACAACTGCATCTGCTTCCTTTCTATGGCCATAACTGCATGGTGTTCTTCTGCCAGCGCTTGAGTCATCACTCATTTCTTGTTATGTTTTTCCTGGAAATGTTTTTCTGCTAAAAGAAAACTTAACCCTCAAATAATCATCTGTATATGAAGTACTCACCCTATGTTTCCTTGCTAGGTATACATTTTTGGAATATTGTAGAAATAAGGTCTTTTTTCATGCTTACACATTTTGTTCAGCAGGGTAATCTCCACATATTAATGCACCAGACGAAAACACTAGCTTTTGACTATAAAAAAACTAAATCACAATGTATCACATGCATCACCACTTCTAAGCTAAAGTCGGCTAATGTTCAGCGTGATGAGGTTTAGTAGTCCGCCGTTTTATGACACATAGAACTTCAGAAAAATACTTCCAGTAGAATATTAACTGATGAAATAGAACAAGATGTGAAAATCAGACAGATGAAAGAAACCGGAAGGGGTAAAATGATGACTCATTTCCAGCTTTTAAGACTCATTCCTAAACCACCCAATCAACTTCTAATCATCAAGACTTTTCTCCATTGTTTTATTTCTAAATATGTATTTCTTAATATGTTTTTGGTTAGTCTGTTTTGAATAGTAGAACCAAAATTAGTTATTATAAGAATTCAATTTCTAACAGATCATATTGTGCGTGAGTCTTCCTTTAACACATGCCTGTTGTTCTCTCTGTAGAACTATCTGCGTGTGGCCCTACAGGAAGTAGACACCGGCTGCACGGCCAAAACCCTGATGGTCCAGCCGTACACCACCACCGAGGAGGTCTGCTCGCTCTGCGCCTACAAATTCAAGATCCCGGACCCTGGCGCCTATGCACTGTTCCTGGTCATTGAGGGCACCCGCCAGCAGCTTGCCCCGGACACACACCCTCAGCGAATCAAAGCAGAGCTCCACGGCCGGCCCTGTGCACACACCTTCCACTTTGTCTACAGGAGGATACCAAACCTTAACCTCTTTATCCCGGCCATCATGGACAATGGAAACTGTATACAAGTTGAATAGAGCAGGATAATGATCCTGAACTATAGTATTCTGGTGGTGCTTATAGAGGACTGTTTTGTAGTTAGATTTGAGGACTTCTTAATGGAAACCAAACTGTATGTCGCAGTCAACGTGTGGAAGTGATCTTGGGCAAGAAACTTAAAGGGGAACTATTATGCTTATTTAGGTTTGCACTTTTAGCCTTTAGCCACAAACCGGTATAACACACTACAGGAAAATCCCTGGGTTCCCTCCAGAGGGAGTTTCTCTCCCACACACTCTCCCCCACATGACTACATAACACTCGTGCTTCTATTGGCTAGCCCTCCAATGCATTGGATGTGTGGAGCGGGACATCTCTAAGCAGTTGACCAATCACAACAGAGCCAGCCAGCTAACCAATCAGAGCAGACTGGACTCTGGTTTCAGACAGAGGGTGAAAAGAGGTGCTGCAACACAGGCAGTATGAGCAAAATAAAGAGCTTTTTGAACATTAAACCACTGAGACATGTCCCATTAGAGACACTACATACTGATATGAACCTTAAAATTAGCATAATATGTCCCCTTTGAATTTAAATTGCTCTCGATTACATGGCCAATGGTGTGTGAGTGTTTCTTTCTCTGAGCAGCAGGCACCTTATATGCCTCTGTATGAATGTTTGTGAATGGGTGAGTGCTGAATTGCATATATGAATGCGTTTTGAGGGGTCAAACAGTCTGGATAAGTGCTATTTAAAGGCAATCCATTTACCATTTACCTTATTGATGCAGATATAAAATGTTAGATTGTATGTGAGGACTAGTGTAAGTTGGGATGGTGGTACGTTTAGCAGAAATGATCACATTGTGTATAGAAGCTAGTTTGCAGGATTGTTTTGTATGTAAAGAATGACACGGAGCTGGAGAATTCTTAAGATTGTTGGACATGTGTGCCATCCTTAAAGTAAAGGTCATGTGACTAACGTTTGCTTACACTGCTGTTATCCCAGGTGCCTTTAAAAGGAATACTGCGTGCTACTGACAGCTGTCAGTGATCTGTCAGAGAGATGAAAAATCTTGCTAAAGTTAAGTTCATTTAATAAGTAAAATCAACTATTTTAAAGTTATGTTTATTCTCTGCAATTGCTGGCCAATTGTAGCTTGTATTCTGTGTAGAAATATTTTTATATTCAAATGTGTCATCTTTAATCACTAAAGATTTGTATTCTGATTTCATATTACTGTACTGGATTCAATCGTGGACTAAGATCTATGCCAGTTATTTCTCAAGAGTCAATTTCCAACAACACTGTTTCTACTGTATCACTCAAACTGAATATATACAATTCTCTCTGAACGAAGCTACTTGCTGACTCCACTGATTTCTTTTTTTGTATCAGCAGATTTTGCTACATTCTTTTTGAGGGAAGATGTCATAATGTGACCCTGACAGCACAGGAACAGCAGGGTTTTACTGGATCCACACAGCTAGCCCCAAACATTTCAATCTACACACACATAATACACAGTTTAAAATGACATATGACAGAACCTAATACAGGAGGGGCAGGGGAATATTCTGTGGAGTTGTTGTGGTTTGGTGTATAAAGTCAAAGTAACTCTTTGTCGTTGTGTTTGTTTCTTCTTTCTATTGGCCTTATTTAACTTTAGACATATAGCCAGGGGCCCATGCTAAGATAAAGCTAACGTTACTTCACCCTGATTGGTCAATAATCAGACACAGAGGTATATTATTGATATATGATAATGATGTAGGACTAAATCATAATTATGTTCTATTGGATTTTAAATGTACACACGTAAAACATGCCATTGAATGTATTAATATAGTATGGTCATCATATCGTGATATGACGATCATGTCTGTCATGGAACACTTCTGGAGCAATGGAGTGGTAACACAATGGAACACGGGAGAGCTGGAACATGATGGCAAACACTGAAGAAATGATTGGAAGTTACGGCCACAGAATTCACAAGACGTGTGCTGCAGCCACGAGGTGTCACAGCGGTTGCTAAACCAATTCTGAAGATCTCTTCCCCAGACCCATGTATTTAAATAGCCCTGAGAGAATAATCAACATTGTGCATTACAAGATAAAACAGGCAAAGCACAATAACACCTCTATCAGCTGACGCCAACAGGCAGGAACAGGGAGAAAAAACACAGCACAGCACCCCAAGGTTCAGGCCTGTGCTCAGTGAGGGCAGAACAAACTGATACACTGGGTCAAAGTCATGGGCCTAGGAAGATATTTCCTAAAAAATATCTACATGATAATTCATTACAATATGATATAGTGTGATTAATGCCAGAAACTTAATTCGAACACAAAAACATAGTAGTACAGAATTAATATGAACAAAATCAGATATTAGTGATCTGACACTACAATCAAAACGATTGATATAATGGAGATCTGTTTTTATGGAACCTGTAAAATGAATTAAACTGTTTCGCGCATGTTCTCAGTTGTAAGATGGCTTCAGAAGCTAACTGAAAATTGTGAAAGATTATACCACTGCCTTCTTCTGACTTAGGTTGAGAGAAATTCATTGAGATCTTCGTTGACAGTATAAATACATTATGAGTCACTGCACGAGGGTTAGGGTTAGGGCTAACCCCATGAAAGCAGAAGTTTGGAGAGTTACTTTAAAAATGTAATCTTTAATAATTAGTTACCTGTAAAAGGAAATCACTACCCTTATCTAAGTATTACAATATAAAAGAAAGTGACCTGATTACGTTTAGATTACGTCAACATTAAACGTGAATGCAAATAAATACAAGAGGAAATAACACTTTAGGGATTGTGTAAGAACAATCTAACCTCAGTAAAAAAGACACCAAGACATTTAGTATAAAAAATGAGTCCTCTGCTCAGAGATTTTATTTATAGGAAAAGCTGCCTTTCATGAAGCATATTCAGGCAGTAGCGTCTTAAAAACTGAAACAAAAGTATGTCCCCCACGTACAAACCTGGGAGTGACATCGAAAGGTCATCGATCAACTGGCCCAACAGGTGGGTCCAACACTAGGGACTTCCAGGATCTATAGTAAAGACCACCTGTTGGGAAAATGGTTATAAGGTACAAACTTTTACAGAAACGGGGGTAT